ACGCCACAGGGTGGCGGACAACACGGGTAGACGCCGCTGATTCCGACTTCTCCCCTTTTTTTTGTAGACAGACTTGACAGTCTTTCCGGAACAAAAATAGCCTATAATGTCCAAGTGACGACGCGCGCGGTTGCGGCGCGGCACGTTCGATAGATCGATGAGCGCAGCGCCACAACCGTGTTCACAGCGCAGGCAAGTCGCCTGCTGTCTTAAATAACGTAGTCTATACATTCCGCGCTTGCTTCCAATGTATTCTCTTCGTACCTTGTGTCTTACCAAGTCAGTTATACATAGCACAAATGGGTAGGAATGCTCCAAAGTTACGATGATGTCTTCATCTGGGACATCATCGGAATTTGCTCATCAGTTACCGTAGTTAGGACTGTTGGCAGCAATCGATCACCGCCATTGATTAGGAAGAGGCGATCGGCCCATGGTCCTGGATCGGGTGTACGCATAATCCGAAGTGAATTACACACATATATTGATTTCTCTTGTATTAAGATTCGAATACTAGTTCATGCTTTTTCCCCGCCCACGTAAGTAGCCACATAATTACTATGTCCCACTCATTACGCCCTTGCTCCTCCACTTCTTCCACCCTGCTTTTATCATCCTTACTACTTTTTTTCTACTTTTCTCTCCCAACAACCAATCACCTATCAGCTGTGACATACGTGTTGAATATAATCGATATGTGATATTAGAAACCAGTCATACATTTCTATATTTGTATGTTTACAGAATAAGATTTTAATTTGTGTATGTTGTATAGTTCCCTGTGATATATGAAATATATCAGAGTTGATACGCATAAAATCAGTTGGGTTACCTTTTAATAAAGGATTTATTACATATGTACACAATTCCATTCAGTTCAGTCCTTTCGCAAATTGAAAGGAACCTGCTAGGTTACCTCATTACAATAAGTAATAACTTTTTACAGGTATTTACACAGTACTGTCCCATTCAATTCACTGTTCTTCGTCACCAGCGAGGAAATGAGGAACCTGGGCGATGACCTTGTCGGTAAGAGGAACTTTCGGCGGTTCTGGAGATGCTTCCTCAATTGGCGCAATGTGTAGTGGAGTATGGAGCAAATTGTCGATCGTCTTGGTACTCCGCCGTTTGTACGTCGTAATGACTCGTTGCAATGCACGAAATCGTTGCATCTAAAAATCGGAACATAGTCAAGAAGCGAAAAAGGGAAGGCAAGTTTTAAAAGAGAAAACCAATGAATAAGTGAAGTATATGACCGAATCCTGAACTAGAGAGTTGTGTAGCAACATTCATCGTACCTGTTTTTGAGTATCGTCACGCTTCTTGATGGCATAGCAAAGTTTATCCAGCTGAAACAGTTTTGTTCCAGCATCAACATGAACGAGAAGTGCTGGTGGTAACATAATAGGCCTGATTTAGCCTACACAAAAAGAATGGGCTGAAGCCTGACTTTGCCCACACAAGAAGAAAGATTTCATGTACCTCTGGTGGTGCACAAGGTAACCCTCATTTAGAGAAAAGAATTTGATGGCAACAGAAAAGGGCTGGTAGAACTCACTGCTTCGTCGCTAATGCAGCTGTTCTCAGAATGAAAGACAACATCTTCTTCTTGGAGGCACTTCTCCATTTCATCAAGAGCTTCGTCAAGTCGGTCTACAAACAGTGGTGATCAGATGAATCATGGGATTTCGAGGCGAACAGCTTTACCAACCCTCTGTTGCTAAAATTGTGACAAGCAGACTTCGCCGAATTACTGCAGGTGTCATCGTAACATACGACATCATTTCGTGAGCTTCCGGCAGTTTATCCTGTCATAGAAATGCGCTTTGAACGGATATTCGAAATTGTCAAAAACTCATGAGCTGTAAGATGACGAAAGCTCACCAATTTCAGCGCCAACGCAGCAGCAAAAGCAGCAGATCGACTGGTGGCTTCACTTGTCTCTTTTTGTTTCGTTACAATCTTCATTAACTTCCGTAAACTGCCTCGCTTCCCCTAAAATCTCAGTTTACTTGTAAAATAGAAGAGAAACAGTGAGAACAATATCTTTCAAACGCTACTCACTTCTTTGTAAAAAGCAGCCGCCAACTCGCATTCCCTGCTTTGTTGTTTAGAACTTCTGGCAAGTTTGCCACTTGCCTGTATCACAGCATTTTCCCCAGCAGTAGAAACTAAGGCTGAAGTTCCTGCTTGCCTTCCTAACATTAGGAAAACCCGTCCACATTGTAACATCCTAATACGAAGAATAAAGGCTTTCGTGCTAAACGAAGATTTGAAGAATGATTTATGACTGAAGAAATAACAATGCGCCAAGCAGTCGATTCAGTTGTCGAACGCATGTAACAGAATATTTACTGAACAACAACAACAATCATGTTCAATAATCTCCACGAGCTAACTGGCGTCTCTGTTTTCTCTTTGACTCTTTCTTGGTTCTGGGGATATCATCAGTTGGTTTGGCAACAACGTCCTCTTTTTCAGTTAGGATAACCTCGATGTGGCATGGTGAGGACATATACGCTAAAAATAATGCAGTCATTTACCAGGGACTACCAAAACATTGTCCTAGAAAGAAGAGAGAGATAGGATTGGCAGAGGATCCGAAACAGCTGTGAGTGGAAATTCAAATTCAAGGATTCGATGATTCACTGTTAGATGCACATTTGGAAAACAAGGAGCAAGTGGAAGCGGAAAATAGGGGAGAAATGATCTAGCTATCCTTTGCCACACCGTTACATGTCAGAAGCTCTCTTTTGCTTGAATGAAAGATTTTGTTTTTTCTCTATGAGATCAAACCGTGCAGAGAAACTATAAAACTAAGAAAAAAGAGTGCACCACAGTTATGGAAAACCTTCAGCAAAAAGTCAAGATCAAATCATAAAGAGCCAACACAACACAGTAAAACAAAGAAAAAATATGGAAATGCACAATGATCACTTACGGTTGATACGGCCGTGAGCACGGTAAGTTCGTCGGCGCATCTTTGCAGCGCGTTGAACAACAATGTGGTCGACGACAAGATGGTCAACGTCCAGACCTTTGTACTCAGCATTGCTCTCAGCATTCCTAAGTGAAAAATATCGAAACTTGAACATAAAAAGAGCCAAGGAGCCAAACCGCTAAGTATCTGTAACTAAACAAGAATAGGAAGAGCATGAAAAGTTGAGGAAGTCTCTATCTTGCTCATCGACAATAGAAGTAAATAATAGTTACTTGACAAATATCATCCAACAGGTAAGAGGTACAGTCAAGTAAAGAAACAAGTAAGAATCGTAATGTAAAGCATAGCAGACTCACTTGAGCAAGTCTAGAAGGAACTCAGCTGACTTCTTGGGCCATCGACCTTGTGTGGTATTCCACTGCTTGCACTGAGCCTTACGTCCAACTCCACCGTTGAAACGCAAGAAAGGAACAATTTCTTTTTGCTCCTTGACATTCTCCAAAAAACGCTGAGCACGTCTCAGAGGCATATTACGGAGGGCCATAGCTGTCTCGTGGGTGTTCTTAAAGTGAACACGGAGATCCGACCCACGGGCTTTGCACGATTTCGTGCTATTGTCGGGATTCTTGGT